CTGGCAAAGCCTCAGAAGCGCGGGAACCCGCCCGGTGCCCCTGGTCTGCTGGAGACGGTCTCCAGCAGACCAGGGGCACCGGAGCAGCTTACGAACGGGGCTTTCTCGCCCCGACTTCCGGGGTGAGAAAGCTCCGTTCGTAAGTGCGGATCCGACATAAGTCGGATCCGCGTAAGTCGGGGACTGCCTGTAATGTTTGAACTCCCCCCAATCCACTTTTGGGTCAGGATCCCAAATTTCTGAAATGTTGGTCTCTCCCATAAAAATCTAGGTACTAAATAAATAAAAGTATACAAAAGACCAGATTTCATGGTCTGTGATGTGTTTTTCATGGCCATGAATTTGGTAGGGAACACCCATAACTCATGTACAATTTTTCATCGTTCGTATATGCGGAATTTTGTTAGGTCTAAGACAACAAATCGAACATTCTGCACTTGCCATTTACAATTAGTGAGTGAAGAAACAGCATTTCATTCTACTGCAGACAGCAGTAGTGAACCAGGACTTTTCAAAGCCCTCTCGTGTGTTCCCCTCCAGATACAATTTTCTTCAATTGTTCTTCTGCATGTAACAGAGGCAAATGTAACAAGCAATTTTTGAGAAGAAATTTTTGTTCAAACTGAATGGGGGAAAGGGAAGGTAAAAAGCAAAGCAAATAATTATGGAGGAACATTGCATAGATTATAATGAGGCAGCCTGAGACCTGGAAGGGAAACAAGATTTCTGCACCTGGTATCAGGCTAGCAAATTAATGGGGCCTGGTGGATTAAACTCTCTTAATTTTCAGGCCTAGAGCTATAGCTTCAGAAATAGGTCAGTCATGTTCCTTGAATCTATTTACAGAAATTCAAATGTCTCTGCCCTCCTTACCCTAGTAGCTATCCCTTTCCAGGGTCTGCACAATTGTTTGTGTGCACCATCCTCCTTATCACACTTTGACAATCTCTGTACATCCTTTAAGAGGACTAAGCTCTGTAATTGCTGTAGTGGTCAGTCATCCCCCATTTTCTTTCAGTGTGCTTAGATGTGTAGAAGAGCATTGTCTAGGAAGAATGTTAACATTTATAGGTAAGGGAGGCAAATTTGTAAAGTTATTTCTGTATTCCTCATGTTGCTTTTAGTCAGCTGAATGTGAGCTTTATCATAGTCTTGTAAACTTACTAGAAAGTTTAAAGCAGAATATTAGTCCTATTCATTATGGTTCTTGATTGTGTTTTTATGTGCTTAAAAATATTCATGTTGAAGTTTCACTGTATAGTAAAGCCTGAAATCAAATCAGAGACAAACTCCACCCCTTCTGTAAATATTGCTCATGGTGTTTTCGTATGAGTTTTTAATTTTTTGCATTTTGAGGGTTCCATAATTACTTAAAGTCTAAGAAAAATGCTATTGCAAAAGGGCAATATTTTTCTGAATGATCCTTTGCTTGAGAAAATTAATATGACTTGAAAATGAATGTAGGAACTTTCTAATGTGAGGGTGAGATTTAAGAATGTCAGAAGTTTTCCACTACATTGTAATTTAGACACCAGTTTCCTGTATGACATGGCATTGAATTACCTCTTGGCTTTAACAAAGGTTGGGGTATGCATTCTAGATTGTTAGCCTACAGAACAGTTTGCCAAAGTTCTGGTAATTCAAATCACTTCATGTTTTGAATACACCAAAAATGGTACTATTTAAAGCCTTTCCCTATCTGGAGATGAACCAGAAAAAGCAATCAGCAAAGTCCGAACAATACCAAAAAGCCCATATCATCTTTATACACCAAAATGTTGGGTATCAGAGTGGATAAAAAAGAATTGGTTCTCAGATTTTTGTCACTAGTAGAGCAAACACAAATACTTGTTGAACCTTGCTGGTCTGGGACTCCCTGGTCTGGCAATATTCCTGGTCTGGCCAGAAGCAGAGTCAGTCTGGTGGCCCAGTCAGGGCAGGGAGCAGAAGGGTCCAGTGGCTGGTATCTGGCCAGGGCGGCGAGGAAAGCCATTCTGGTGGCCGGAGCCTGTCCAGGGCCATGAATGGAACAAGTTCAGTGGGTGGGGGGCTAGCGGATGCAACCTGCATCCAGAGCAGAGCAGGGCAGGAGTGGGGGAGGGGAAAGGCAGGGAGGCCAGTGTCTGGAGTCCAGCAGGAACTGGCAGCAGAGCCAGTCCGGTGGCCGGGAGCAGGGTTTCATGGTCTTTGTGTAACTGGCAATGACAGACTGGTGTTAGCATTTACTAAAATAAATCATGTATTCAGAAAATGGATGCCCTCCACACCTCTCAGGAGACTTGAGAAAGTGAGGCAGAGTTTAAAACCACAGTCTCCTATCCATAAAAGCTATATCTGTCAATAGCAAACACTGTATTCTCTTTCAGAGCAGTCAGGAAACAGTTGACCAATTGATTGAACTAATTTTATAATGATTGAACTAATTTGCAAACAAAAGCCATTACAAATTAGAGTGCTTAAAATCTATTTTCCATCTATAAATTCAGGTGATTAGCTAGTATGCAACCACCAAAGTACTTGCATCACCGAGTAGTGTTACTACAAATACTTAAGCGGCAAGGAGTCCTGTGGCAACTTGGGGTATGTCTACACTACCCCGCTAGTTCAAGCTAGCGGGGTAATGTAGGCATACCGCACTTGCAAATGAAGCCCGGGATTTGAATTTCCCGGGCTTCATTTGCATAAGCGAGGAGCCGCCATTTTTAAATCCCCGCTTGTTCGAACCCCGTGTAGCGCGGCTACAACGGGAGAGCGCGCGAGGGGCATGATATATCAAGAGCATAAGTGTTTGATGAA